GGCTCGGGCTTTTTACGAGCCGAGCCGGCTCGGCTCGGGCCGGCTCGTTTTTTTTTTTTTTTTTTTTGCAATTTTTAATGACTTTTTTTTACATGCTAATTGTTGTGGTGCAAATTGTTGAATGACATTTTTTTGAAAGAATTTAAAAATTACATCATTTATTATTTATACAAATTACAAATTAAATAAAAGTACAACTTTCAAAATTATGTAATTTATACGAATAACAAAATAAATAAAAGTTACAAATTACAACCCTCCTCCTTTTTCGGGGCTTGGGACCGGCTACAATCAACGTACGCGGAGTTAAAATTGTACACGAATAAAATATTTCGTGTACAATTTTTTTGAATCAAATAAATTTAAAAAATACATTTCTTAAAGAGAAATAATTAATTTAAAAACTTACAACATCCTATGTTTGGATATGCTGCAACTCTTCGGCCATTATACTATCAACATGTTCTTGAACAAGTAATTCTGCACATTCCCAATCCTTCAAACATATCAAAGCCTCTAATATATCTTCTTTTAGTCTTGATCGTTCATCTGATAAAACTCGACCACCTAAACTGAATGCAGCCTCCGATGCTACCGTAGACACCGGAGGTGTTAGTAGATCACGTGCAATTTTCGATACAATTGGATATTGTCTTTCGTTACATCTCCACCAATTTAAAAGACTAAATTCTTGTAATTCGTGCGGTTGCAACACACTACGAACATCTACGCACATATACCTAGCTAACTCAGAAGAAATTTCAAGATTTGTACCATCAATATTGATCGCTCTAGATGTTGATGAGCTAGAACTAGAACTAAATGAAGGAGCACTTGTATTGCTATCTAAATAATTCCATAAATTTTCGGGATTTGTTGTAATATTTCTTGAAAAAGAACTTTGGGAAGTAGAACTACGCTGACCTTCCTTTTCAGCATAATAATTATACATTTCACATAAAAAAGATTCTATATGCACGTGTGATAATTCTATATTCAAAAAATCTGATATCCCCTTTATAGTAGTTTTTGTGCCAGTTAAATTAAGTCAAGGGTCCATTACTGAAGCTAAAAGAAATAAAGAAGGCAACTCTTCCCAGTATTTACAAAATTTTAACTCCATAGAGCGGACTACATCAGCAAAAAGTGGCAAATTCCTATATTTATGAAATGCTTGTGAAATGTAGAAAAAATGTTGTAAAACAAGAGAAGATGTAGGGTAATAAACACCGCTACATTCCTTTGTAGCATCGAAAAAAGGTTGTAAGAATATTTTCACGTAAAATGCAATAGTCCATTCCCAATCTTCCAAATTATGTTCGGGTCCGAGTGTATGTCTACCATTATAATATAGTGAAATCACTTTATCGTAATTTTCACACGAATGTAACATAAGATATGTAGAGTTCCACCTGTGTGTTACATCAGTGGCAAATGATTTCTCCTGTAATCCATACTCTGCACACAAACTATTAAATGCTTGTTTTCTTGCTGGTGATACAGTAATAAAATTTATTGCTTGTCTAATCTTATCTAAAGGTGAACTTATATGTTCTAATCCAGCTTTTACAATCAAATTAATAATATGACATACGCAACGTTGATGAAAAAATAAATTTCCAAATACGGGATTAAGATCAGCAATAAATCTTTCAATAACAACTTTGTTCACTGCAGCATTATCAAAAGTAAAACTTCGAACCATATCTTGTATACCATATTCCTGTATGATATCTTTTAAAACCATGTATATATTAGTGGCATTATGGGAAAATTCTACATATCTAAATGCAATAATTCTTTTATGTAGAAGCCACAAGTGATCAATATAATGAGCCGTAGCAGCAATATAACCTTTTCTATTACAACCAGTCCATAAATCAGAAGTAAACGATATAACACTATTAAATTTTTTAGACCTTCAATAGTAATTTGTTTTCTTCTGTTATATAATTTTATGCTATCTGAACGAAGAGTATTTCTAGAATAAGAAGAATACCTCGATTGGAGATATTTCTGCACGAGTCGGGTAAAGTGTATTGAGTCTATCATCGTAAGCGGCATCTCTGCTGCAGCCACGTATGTAATCATTCCTTCACGAAATCTTTCCTGTGAATATACAAAAGTGGAAAGAGTAGAATTAGAACCGCCAAACACTAGTTCGGTTTGTTTCGAGTCGAGATCGGCTGGTTTTGCTTTGCAACTCCTCAATACGTTTCTATTCAAATGCGTCGTGCTCGAACCAGGCTTCCAACTAAGTTCTTTGCCACAATAATTGCAACATGCTTTCCAAATATCTACTCCATTTTGAACACCAATTTTTTTTCGTGTCATATGTTGCCAACAGTCCGATGATTCTTTTTTTGACCTTTTTGTCTCGAGTACTTGAACTTCTTCCTCTTCAATATCCTCCAAATTAATTGGAACATTTTCACATGCATCGTAGTTAGATGGAGTACTCGAACTACCGCCAAACTGATTAACTTCATCACTTGTAAAATCCATAATAACTAGTATAATAAAAAATACTGAATATTAGACTGTAAAGTGAAAGAAATTGAATATATTAATTGTTATATGAGAAGTGAGAAAGAAGAAATTGAAACTTGAATCTGAATCTATGATATAGAAATAATACGAAGTAAAATCGATAGCAAAGTGATTTAAAACTTCAAAAATCATCTCGTATTTATAGATAAAAAAACCCGCATTATTTTTCAAATTTGAATTTCAAAAATATAACAGTATAATGTACTAATAGTTTAATACGAAAAAAAAGGCAGCTATATCGGCAGCCTGTGACCTGCTGCCTTAGGCAGCAGGTAAAAATTTTTTTTTTTTCAAAATTTTTTTTTTCTTTTATTTGCTCGGGCCGAGCATTTTTGTCACGGGCCATTTTTGGCCCGTGTGGCTTGGCGAGCCACACGGGCTTGCTTGGCTCGGGCCGGCCTCTTATTTTGAGGCTCGGCCCGAGCCTAGGCTCGATCCCTACGAGCCACGAGCCGGGCGGGCTCGGGCTTTTTCCGAGCCGAGCCACGAGCCGCCCAAGCCACCGAGCCTTTTTGACACCCCTACAAGAATCCGACCATCATGAATTATGGTGTAGTTGAGATGCTTGGAGGATTTTCATCGTCTAAGATATAGCGGGTTGCAAGTAGTGGTGTCAACGAGTCGAGCCGGCTTGCGAGCCGAAACTTGAGGTCGGGCTCAGTTCAAGTAAATTGGTCTGCGCTTTTTTGCGAGCCTGAACCAAGCCGAGCTTTTTCTCGACCAAAAAAGCAAGGCTCGATTTTTTTATTAAATTAATATATAGGTAGCAAGCTGTTGCCTTTGCAGCTGTTTTTCAAGGCAGTGCTAATGCTTTATTTTAAACAAATAAGGCAGTAGGTTGTTGCATTTAATTTTTTTTTAATATAAAGGCCTGCGAGCCACACCAATCGGCTCGAGCTTGGCCCGCCACCCCAAAATGGGGCTCGACTCGAGTCAACGAGCCCGATTGCCATCCTTAGTTGTAAGGAATATTAATATTACGAGCTTACATGTTTTCTTTTGGAATGTTTGAGGTTTTCGCCGCCTCGTGGTGCCATTGATGGGATATCATGATTGTTTTGGGTTTGTTTATCGTTGGATTTGGGCCTGATGCCTCACTATTCATTTGGTCCTTATTCTGTGTTAGGTCGTCCTTTACTTGGGCTGATTACTAATGGTTTTTGGGTTTTGGTCCACTTATGTAAAACCATGTTTTTGTAAGCTCAACTTTGGTTGTTGGAATGCTTTGATCTGGACCTTTCATTTGATGCAATTGTGACTGTATGATCTGTGGAGAAATATCTTATTTCTTCAGACATTTGTACTATTTCTTGATGATTTGATAGTGGAATCGAGCGTAATCTACTTCTAAATGCTCAACAGATGATTAAACCGAAAGCTAAATATTCAGGCCCTTGGTAGCGAAAAATTCCTTTGGGTTCTCTGATTTTCTGGAAATTATTGTGGTAATCTTGCATAAAAGCGATTCTGAGACCAACATTTATACATGTTTTAATTGAGGAGAAAGGAGCTGGAAAAAATGATAGGGTCGAGGATTGAAATTTGGAGCATTTGCCTCATAAATTTTGATCGACAAGAAAATATCATTGATCAAGTAACATATAATTATATATTCCTAACACTGCTCTCATTGACATGTAAAATTAGAAATCCTACGTCCATTAGACAACAAAATAAATGAGCTCCAATACCGTTTGTTGGATTTCGATTTAAAAGGCACCATCACATATTGATATGGGATGTTAAAAATAAAAAAATGGATTGATTGTCGAGGGATAGTAACTGAAATTTTATAATATGTATTCAACAGTCTCATATCTCTCTTTTTCGATATTCTTCCAAGAACTTTAAGAATACTACAATTTTTTTCTATACTTTTTAGTGTGTGGGCACTTGAGATTCAATAAAAATAGAGTGAACGAATCACATTATTATATTGTAGAAAATATGCAATAAAAGTTAAATTGCATAGAAAAGGAAGCCGTTCGTTTTCCATTTTTTTGTCTAATACGATGTCGCATTGTAGCCCCTTCCAAACTTAGTGTTGCTTCTTGAACAACCCCTGAACGTCCAAGAGGTTGTCAAGGGGATTTATCCTTTCAATCTTAAGATTTGGGTCCCATACCATCTCGCCATTTAACCAGTGACCGACCATTCCCTAGAAATTTTGAAAATTATTTGTAGGCATTGGCTCTATTTAAAATAAATTTTGGGAAAATACATTTAAAATAATTATATTTGTACAAACGTGGAATAAAAAAAAAATTAAATTTAAGTACAATATATATATTTTTTCGTAAAAATATATGATTAAAAAATAAGAAATAGAAAATTACATTTCTTAAAAGATGGAGCCAAACGGGGACTAAATCTAAATTCATTTAACTTTTTGAACGTATTATGAATTTTTTTTTTTTTTTTAATGCATTGCACATAACAGCTGCCTAATTTGTAGTTCAACCGAGCATTCAAACATAATAAAAAACTCTTGCAATTAACTGCCAACGAAACAAAGCGAATCTATTTCCAGTTGTTAAATTTTCATTGGTTGGGCATAGTAGGAAGGATCTAAAGAAAAAGATGAAAATTTAACTAAAATGGTATATTGGTATCTATAGCAATGCCTGTGCAGAGCATGAAACAGTTCCAACCTGCCACACCCCACCTCCAAAACAAGCAGAAAATCCCCCAAGAAAAGATAAATAGAAACAGAAGACACTTCACAATATAATCTTCCCGAGCCCCTGTTTGACTCAAATTTTAATTTCAATCAAAGTCAAACAATCAATATTAACGCATATTTCATAATTTCCACAACCTCTCAATCACACATTTCAAAAACTTCTATTAAAACCTACTAAAAATTTAATTTTTAATCCCCACCAAACACTCTCTGACAAACTAGTTGAAAATACCCTTCAGCATTATACAAGATTTAGAGCCCATTTGGCCTCGCTTTTTAAAAGCCAAAAGGAGATTTTGATATTCAAAAACTACTTTTGAACCATTTGGCTAATTTTATGAAAATACTTCTAGTCTAGTTAGAAAAGTTTTTAAAAAAAGCCAGTCTAACGTGACTTCCTCTATAAAACTTTTCAAAATAAAAAGCTGTTTTAAAAATTAGTTTTGAAACAAAAATAGAAGTAACTTCCTCCAAAAACCTTTTATTGACAGCAAAAGTAAAAACCATGCCAAACAACCCTTAACGAACTTAAAAATTGTGTTACAACAAACAACGAAATGCATTAAATAAAACTAACAATACGTATTCGTATAAAATCAATAAAGCCACTTGAAGTTTCAATATGATATTTCAAGTCAACTGAAAATCCTTGCTAAAATAATAATAATCATCATAATATTCTAAGACAGCGTGAAAAAGCAATTGAGATGTCAGAAACTATAGTCAGGTCTCCAGTAACAATATCAAACAATGAAAATACGAGAATACAAATCTTGTCCACAAAGTGAACCACAGCATCCACATCCTGAGGACGGTCAAAAAATAATCCAGACAATTACCTATCTTAAGCCACGAGAGTGCTGGCAGTGGTTGACTCACTGCAAATAGAAAAGTTCTCATCAGGGCAAAAGAAAATATGGATAATAAAGCAGCAGCAGCAAAAGATAAAAAATCAGATGACAAAGCATTTCTCGAAATAAATAGGGCAGATTATTGAATACACCCAGACCATGAAACTATCTTAAGCAACGACAAAGACATGACAGTGAAAAATGATACGACGATGTAGCACCAGCAAAATAAGTAGGTGATAGCTTTATTCACAAGAATTATTAACTTTTTTGTCCCTCAGTTGGCCAAATAACGCAAGCAAGCATGAATCCAAAGAAAAATGACACCAAAAGAGAACATTCTTTCAACCAGGTGGGGCGTAAATCTTGCCAGTACTTGTCAAGTAACAAAATAATATATACATTGAAATGTTATGCTAAAAAAAATAATCTTACAAGTTCAAAAAATATTTTTTAAACCTAGCCCAAGCTTTGAACAGAAAAAGGTAAAAGGGTTGAAAGGCCCCACTGGGGTGTATTAAATTTCAGCAATATGAATTAGAATTTGCATCAATATCTAAATAATAAAGTTCTTATTAATTCAAGATATAATTGACAAATATGCATTGTTAATTCAGCTGATCAACAATTGTAGAAACATACTACTATTTACAATATTTGACACTTTGATATTTGCGCCACTAGTTACTTCTCCTTCGACTCCCCAATCGATTCACAATTTCCCAGCATTCTTCCAATTAAAATCTCTCCAATATAAACACTCGACACCTCTCAACTAATACTAATGTTGTAAAAATCGGATGGTCCCAGCCGGCCCATTCAACTGAAAAAACTAGAAGCCAGATAGAATTTGGTCCGGTTATATAATAAATACTGCATGGAGAAAAGACACACAACTGGTTGGTCTGGTTTGAAAATGCAGTGTTTCCAATTTTCTTAAAAAACAAATTGAAAAATCATTGACTACATGTTCGAACACTTTTGTTTGCCCCAGACCATGGATTTTCAAAGAATGAAAATGGGGAATGACGAGAAATCTAGTGCAAAGTTAAAAGAAAGGGAAGGAGAAAAGTAATGAAAGGAAAGGTGGTCAACAGTGAAGAGAATAATATGGATATGGAATGGGTTGGGTCCTGATATAGGAATTCTCATTCTACAGGATGGTTAGTTTGGGAGATTAAGACAGAGAAATGGGCTTTTATTTTTATTTTTGGGTTGGGGGATGGAGGGAGGGGTGGGTTTTCTTTACTGTAGGGAGGACTTTCAAAATGAATGTTCAATCGCAGTAATTTTCGTTTTACAATGACAAAAACGAATTTACATTTATAAATTGTGCATACAACATTATTTTTAACTTCCAGTTCGACCATTTTGGAACACTTAGATTAGTAAAGTCATTAAATTTTCCAATTCAACATCCGGGCCAATTTAAAAAAACAGTTATTAACACACACACACACCTCTCTCTAACAATTTAAATAATAAAAACTAAAACCTCACATTCCTTCACCACAGGTCCTCTCTTCATTTTAAATTTGTGCTCTGCTCCAAGTACAAATCTAAAACGTACGACCTAGAGCGAACAGCGTAGATGAAGAATGCAGTCGGTGGAAGAAATGTTCTGTTTTACCCTAAACTGTTATTATCATATAACTGAACCAGTCTTTGCTCCAATTCACAGTGTTCCTCATCAAACAGCCCAGTTTGGTTCAGTTTTTAATTGCTTAAGACAGATTAGACTCAAAAGGGACATTTCCTAACATATAGCAGATCAAACTGCATTACTGGTTTCTTTTGTTTACTTACAAACACAACAACCAATTATGATTTCTACCCTCCTCCTAAGAAACAAGAAACAAGAAATATAAATGAACCGTGGGTAACAAACAAGGAACTGGGAAAGTGCGGTAAAAACTTATTACCCCCACACAGCTCTAGACGTAATTTTATCACCTTAAATACCATTACCTATCAAAAATAAAAAAATAAAAAAATAAAAAAAATCACCTTAAATACCATCACAACTATAATGTCATTGAGACGTATCTAAAACAGAAGGAAAAGACTGCAAGTCCTGAAATTTCCCAAAACAATAACAGCCATAAAGTTAATTCATTCAGATACCAAACAACAAAGAGAATTGCGCAGCTTATCAGACAACAATCCCCAGCCTGTCCACGGATGACAGTAATAAAGTTAATCATTCAGATAAACCAAACAACAAAGAGAATGCGCAGTTTATGAGACAACAATCCACAGCTAAGACATATCCAAGGGATGAGATATTTATAACATGTAATTAGACAATTAAGGTGATACAGAATAGTAATATCTAATGAAAATGCAAGAATAAAAAAGTCGATAGAAGGCATACTATTTCCAGACGGGCGGGAGCTTCTTGGTCTTCTTGTAGTATCGGGCCAGACGGTGAATCCTGCTCTCCACAAGAATCAACCTGAATTTGGAGTCTTTGTCCTTCCTGTTCCTCTCTAAGTGCTTCCTAATGGCAACAGCTTTCTTGATCAAATGATATAAATCCTCTGGAATCTCAGGCGCAAGCCCTATGGAAAAAAATCCACGAAATTCATACACTAGTCATTATCATCAGAAACCCAATTAAATCCACACAAAATCCATACACAAATTATTATCATCAGGAAAGCCCAGTAAAATTAAATCACAGCTAACTGACAGGAAAATACTAAATTAACCAATAGGTAGCCAAAATCAGCCATACCGTGAGCCTTGAGTACGCGCAAGATCTTGCTACCAGTGACACTCTTTACTTGAGCAATACCGTGAGAATCACGTAGAATAACACCAATCTGTGACGGGGTCATTCCTTTCTTTGCAAACTTGCAGATGCTGTCCTCAACCTGTAGAAAAAGGATAAACGCGAATCAAACAACCGCAAAAAATTAGTTTACAAATGTACTATTTTTATATACGACAATTTCTCACATCTTGAGAAGAGATTTTGAGCCAGCTGGGAGCAGTCCTTTTGTAAGGCAATGCTGAAGCAGAAATACCCTTACTGTAATTATAAGAAAATACAATGAAATCAGTGTAATGCTTAATTAGGCAGATGAGAAAAATATTTGATTCATTAGAGAGAGAGAGTTCATACCCGCTGCTGTGCATACGACCCATGGTGGCGTCGAGTGGTCTGAGGTGCGCCTCTGTGTTTACTGATTTCTCTAAAACCGAAGGCCACAAACCCTAACCCTAAATGGCGCGATACTGCAAGTAGGGTTTTATTGTACCCTTGTGCAGTCTGGGCCAGGCCCAGTAGCATGGGTCCGGACCAACAACGTTGGTATGGGCCGTATAAATGCCCAATCTTTTTTGAGGAAATTAGACATATATCCTATAAATAAAGCACTTGAAAAATATGGCCGACCTGAGAGGAGGCACAAAAAGAGGCCTCCGCCTCAGGCCCAGCAACTTAGGAGGGCCCAAATTTTTACCGCTATTATTTATAAAAAAAAAAGAAAAGAAAAAGAATAAACCCACTATCCCTAAAAATCAACTAGGCCTGCCCCCCAGAGCATAGTCTAGTGGTGTAAAGGATAGGAGTGAGGTTATCTCACACCTTACTGACAGTCGCAGTGTGGGGGTTCGATTCCTAAAACATGAAATTGGACTTCTTGTAGGCGTAGTGTACAGACAGTTCTTGTTCCCTGACCTGTTGGGGCACATCCCGTGATTTACCTCCCTTACAAAATTTCATAAACTGCCAATGACAGTCAGCAAATTGATTTCGGAAGGACGGTGGCAACAATCCACCTCTCAATTTCTCCTTTTTCAATTTCCATAGACCTTACTGTTTTGCCAATTTACAGTATGTATAGATTTGTAAATTTTTTTTTCTTTACTATTTCATGTTTTGCTTTTCCTAATTGATTTTTTCGAAAATGCTATTGATGGTTATGATTCTTTTTCTGTTTATGCACGGGAGTAATAATTGTCAAGCACGGCAAAAGTGAAACATAGAGGAGTTTAATCAATTCATTGAGCTCTCTGCTCTTAGCATTAAGAGTTCCTAATTGAGTTTTTTTTTTTTCTTTTTACTTTTCTACATGATACTTGTTCTCTTAGTAATGGAAGAAATAAATGATTTTGTTTTAGACTTTTACCAGTTATCATACCGTCCATGGCTTTCGATTTCTCTTGATTCTATACAAATTCTGCTAGCAGAGTAATTAAGCATGAAATTTCTTTCGTGAGCAGATATTTTATCAGAATTTGTGACACATGGGGACCTCAGACTAGGGAAATTTAGAGGTATTAGATTTTTAGTTTTGCAAACTATTCGCCAGACTGATTACCTATGGCTGTTTAGTGTTTATGTAATGGTTTTTGTACAGAGGAACCAAATAGATTAAGATAGTACTTAGTAGACAATTAAGCAGAAATTGTGAGTAAATTTTTTCAAGCTGAAAACATGGATATTGATGAAGCTCTCAAGCTTTTACATGCACTTATTTTGTTTCTCGAAAAGTGTAGAGAATCTGAATTTACTAGTACCATGGATGAAGTTAAACAAATATCAAGTGAAATGGGAATTGAGACTGTGTCCCGAGAGAAACGCAACATTCGAAGGAAAATGCAATTTGATGAAAGAAAGAGCGAAGAGGTAACATAATCAGCTAAAGAATCTTTTAGAGTTGATTATTTTCTCTTTATAATTGATCAAGCTTGATCTTCACTTCAAACCCGCTTTGAACAATTTAAACATTATGAAGAGATATTTGGATTTTTGTTTAATGAGGAGAAATTAAACAAAATGAATGTTGACAGTTTGTTGAAATCTTGTGAGAATCTTGAACAGTATTTGACACACAATGGGCATTCAGACATTATTGGTAATGACTTATGTATGAAGCTAATAGTTCTTGAAGTGCTATTTACCTAAAGAAACAAAAAGCGCAATTGATATTTGATTATAATATAAATATTTTATTATTGATATTTGATTATAATGTAAATATTTTGAATATTTCATTTTATTTGTTGCTTTATTTAGATTTTAAATTAATAAATTTAGTTCTATAAAACTCTTATAAATGAAAAAATGGATTGCTTGCTTCGATTTAGGAGCTCAAACTATGAAGTTTGCCTCGGGCCCAATGAAACTCATGTGAAAGATAATTACAAAGTATAAAATACTATATTTTTACATTAATTTTAGCCTATCAACAATCTAAAACCTTATTTAATTCCCACTTTTCTCTCTCTATATTGATCTCCTCTTTCTCTAGAATAATATAGATCGGCCTCAATCTATGGAAAATGGCTATGAAATCAAGACACGTCCATCGCCAACTTCTAATGGGAGCAGTATGGTGATCGTTGGGACGTCACCACTGATGACAACGCACAATATGTTGATGGATAAGTCGGAACGAATATTGAAGTGGCCATGGCTTGTGTTGGACTCCACAACTTGTATAAGAGATTTGTGGATTCTGTGGCTGATTTGGGGATCAAGAACGATGTGCACAAGATTATAATCTCGTGGCAATGATTTCAAATAGCAGTGTAAGGATATTCTCTCATTTAAATCTAGACTTGGTTTTAAGCCATTCTTTGTGTTTTTACTTATGATAAAATGGCTGATTTTATTCGGTGCTAAAACTGCTTCTGCTTCAAGTTCTTGAATTGTATTATGTAAGATTAAAATATGCAATTTTCACCTCATAAAATGCTTTGAACGTAATAGTGTGTATAATTAATGGTTGACTCGGATTCCTAAAGATTAGACAAAATCTTTTGTATTAATGGATTGAATTTTAGGTATATAATTTTTGTTTTCTGTAAACCATTTGATGGGACATGGCCATTTTTCATCAGGAGATCTAAATGATGAAAGGAAAATACAAGTGATGGTTCTCTAGAATGAAAAATTCATCATATTTTCTAGCAGTTTTTGCATACTAAACACATATAGTCCATGTTTGAGCCACATTCTAGAAAAAAATGTATTATTCATGTCAAATCAATAAAAAATGTGTGGTTAAAAAATAAGAAAAAGTTTTAGATTTACTTGTAATATTATTTTATTGAAGAATGTGTGGTTGAAATGATATCAAATCACTGTTAAAGAATATATTTTTTTGAAAATAATGTGGCTCAAACAAGTCCATAGTACCAACAATCAAGAAGTAGTTATATGAAGATAATGAATGAGAATGGAATATTTTTTTCGACAAATTCATCTACTAGATCTGGTAACTCAACAAAAAGGATTCTGCATACAGGTCTAAGTTCTCAGATCACTCGAATTCAATGAAAGAAATCATCGCTGATTATTGTATAATGGATGTCAACGCTGGAACTTTTTTTTTTTTTTATATCCAGGTATCCACCTTACAGTAACTAAATCTTGGAGTCTACAACTTGGCCCCTCAAGCTACAGACAGGTTAAATCGGAGGTTGTGTCCCAAACTGACCATTGTTCAAGAGCCCCCAACTGATCTGCCAAAGTGCCAAGCAAATGCTGGAATTTCTTGCTTCACCGGAAAGTTGACTTGAGTGGAATTGTATTGAGATCTGATAATCTAGTGATGAATGAATTCGAGGTAAAAAAATAAAATAAAAAGTGATGGTGACGTCCTTTGAAGCAAGTTTAATGGCAAGATTAACAAATGGGACTGTGTGGCCTAGTAGATGGAACGAGATCATGATGGCCTGGGGCTTTCGAGGATAATCTATCTTTACCATTTTTAATACGAGACTTCTAAACAAACAAGTGTTCGAAGTGAGATGGAATCATTAACAACATAACAAAATGAAATGGGTTTTTGTCAATTTTTTTATTTGTTACTTTTTTGAACTTCTCATTTTTAACTTGTAGGTCGTATATTACTAAAGTAAAGTTATATTACATGTTTAATTAATACAAGTGAATCATAATCACAAAAAAAACAATATGTAAAAGAAAATCAACACCCCATAAATATATTCTAACATTTTGATTGATATTTGTCAATTTTTTCTGATACTTTTTTGAACTTATGTCAATTAATTGAATTGGTTCCTTCCATATTTAATGCAACAAAAACGAAAATCATTTAAAACAACTTGTTTCTATTACTGAATTTCACTCTTTCTTGATTGAGCATCAAATTCAAATAAATTGACTTAAGTGGAGGTCAATTCGATTGAGTTGGATGCTTGGTGCGGAACGGAGAAAGAGAAGGGATGGTGGTTGTGTCACTTTTATTTATTTGTTTCTGCATTTTATTGAACTGATTCCAATGTTTTTAATTTGTATTTGTTACTTTTTTTGAATTTTTGTTACTTTTTTAAGTGTTTGTAACCTTTTTAACTTTTTTGTTACTTTTTAGTATATTTTTGAATTTTTGTCACTTTTTAAGTGTTTGTCACTTTTATTTTTTATTTGTCACTTTTTTTAAAGTAAAATACGACATTGTGTTAATTTTTAATAAAAAAGTGACACTTAACTTAAAAAATAACGTTGCATCACTTTTTAACATTGTGTCACTTAATTTTATACAGTACTTTATACTTCTTTTTCTTCTTTTTTTCTCCTATCACTTTCTTGAAATTTTTTTCACTTTTTTCAATGACAAATGTCACTTTTTAATTAATGTGAAAAAGTAACACTTAACTTAGTTTAGTGACATCTTGTCACTTCTTTAAAAAAAAAGTGACACGGTGTCACTTTTTTTATATAATAAAAAGTGATATTTAATTTTAAACTGTATTTTTTACTTTTGAAATACTTATGATTTTTCAAAAAATCCCTAATTTTAGGGTATTTTTGTAAGTTGCCCATCTTTTTTGAGGAAATTAGGCTTAGTATTTTAAAAAGGAAATAAATTAGATTAGTGTTATAAAAGTGAAGAAAAGAGAAGAGAATAGAGAAAAGTCAATAGACTTGTGTGTATTTTTTTAAAAACCAAAACCCTGTATTTATAAGGTAGAATTAGAGATATAACAATAATAATTTTTAGGGCTGTAGGAGTACAATTGTCATTCACATGTAAACCCTAATAAACTTGCCTTTTACAATAATTATCACATTAAAATAAATTAAACATCTCATAACCATAATTAATACGCTAAACAAAACCCCTTCTCTTTTTTTCGCCACCACTCCATATCAATTCAAATTCAATCAAGAAAAGTTATCCACAATTTCACTGTTATACTTGAGTTCAAAGGAAAAAAAATACTTTGATGTGAGAGATGAGATTAAGCCTTTGCTTCATGGCTATTA